CCCCAATCAGTCCTCCTCAAGTTTTGTGAGCGAGCGACCGCTCGCCTCAATATTGAATGGGCAGTACTTAAAATGCGTCGGACCAGGAAAAGGACTCGTACGACGGGAGACTTCCCCGGCCCTAGAAAGCTGCTACTCCCCGTCTTCTCAGCATGTGCTAAACACATGGCAAAATTGATCGTTTTTCCGATCATTCATCAGGCCTCTTATTAAGCCCCGGCTTTGGCGGTAAGAGCCCTCAGCATCTCCTCCCTGCCATCCGCTTACCAGCGAACTGGTGGTGGACATGGGATAACAAAAGAAAGGGTCGCCATCACCCGCGTTCTCTGGGGGGAGTTACTCACGGTGAATCACCTTGTTCTCTGTAATGCCCGTCAAACTGTCCGAACAAGCGGGCGCTTTATGGCTCTCTTGGTGGTTGGAGAGCACGCACTGTGGCTTAATCTTTCCGGTCTCCCTGAAAGAGAATCGCCGGTCGAGCCTGACCAGGCGCTCTTCGGGCCTGCCGTCGCGCTAATACAGCAGCGCTGCGATGATAAGGAAAAGGAGGACAAGGGTTTTAAACTTCACCTTCCTAGGAAGCCTGCGCCGCGCCAGATTCCCTCTGTGCAGCCGGATTAAAAAAAAAATTAAAAAAAAAACTAAATCCCACTGAATTGTTGCGCAGCCACAGGTGGCTTTGAGTTCAAGTTCACGGGCGGCCAGCCCTCCGGACACCAGTTCTGCCCTCGTATTTCCCCGTTTAAACAACGGAGGTTATCTGTCGGCAGAGTCATGGGGTTCAGTGCTGGCACGGGCTGCACTGTTCCCGGTGTAGCCCAGTGCTTGTTTCCCCATTTTCAGAGGGGAATACAGTGAGGAAAAAGTGCACAAGCAGTGTCACCACACAGCTACCTTCACACTTCTCTCACAAATTCAATTTTTTCAAAAAAAACCCCTACGAGATCGCACCATTGTACCACAAATTAGCGAACCGGCTGAACTAGCAGCTCTAAGCAGCTCTCCGGTTTGTGTGGGGATGCTGTCTTTGTCAGCTCCCAAATGGGTGATTCACACAACCCCTGTGTTCCCCAACACAAAAAAACACAAAGAACACAATAACACGAAAAGTGAGCAGTGATAAATCCAACCCGAGCTGTGAAGTGCAGAGATCGCGAGAAGCGAATGACAACTATTGAATAGCGTCGCGTGCAGGCCTTATATGCTCTCAGGTAAGGGGGTGGGGCCTTACCTGGCATTGGCTGCGCGCTTCTGTCTGTCTAGCCAGACTTGGTGCAATTGGACGCTTCTGCAGAGGTCAGGTACAGATGACCTTCCCATAGGTGGATCTCTCCACTCAATGTTTCAGAGAACCGGGGTTACGACAGTAACCTGTTGTTTCACAATGTGTCTCAAACTTAAATACAAATTTTACATATTTGTCTGCTTCAAAATCAAGTGTTTTAAAACCTACTACTCATTCCTAAACTGTGTTAATTACTTTCAAAGACTGAGAGCCACTTATTTCTGCAGGCTGTGTAATGAAGTCAACAGATCTTCTCACCTGTGGTTCGTCTTTGAATAGCGTGAGTTATGCTCAAGCATCCGAACAAACATGATAAAACAGCAATCAACGAGAAAATCTCTAAACTGTTTGAACAAACAGGGAGTGTGAGGAAAAGTTCACAAGCAGTGTCGCCGCACGGCACATACTTTGTTCCCCTCATCCAGTTAATAAAGGCTTCGGCCCCTGTGTTCCCCAACACAAAAAACAGAAAGAACACAATAAAACAAACGAATCATATGAATTCGTTTCAGGGAGAGTACATCTCTCTGCAGAGAGAGAACATCTCTCTGAACCCCTGCATGTCGCCCCTGGTCTGTCCACTAGAGGGCGCCATTGCATCACAAATGAGCCAACTGGGCGCATGCGAGTATGCCAGCGCTTCCCTGGCTCTGGTGGCTCTTACGAGTCAGCCTGGCAGACTGTTTCGGCTCCCGAGTCGGTGATGCGAACTGTAATGCAGGGCTACAGACGGCAGTTTGTAATAAAACCCCCGCATTTCACCGGTGTTCTTTCCTCTCACACGGAGGAGAGCACCACTCACATTCTCAACGAGGAAATCTCTTCCCTTCTATTAAAGGGAGCCATTTGTAAATCAGGGGTTTCACAATAGGTCTCAAACCCAAACACATTTTACATATGTCTGCTTCAAATCAAAAGGGTTTTAAAACCTACTACTCATTCCTAAACGGTGTTAATTATTTTCAAATACTGGAAATCACTTATTTCTGCATTTCTTCAGGCTGTGTAATGAAGTCAACAGATCTTCTCACCTGTGGTTCGTCTTTGAATAGCGTGAGTTATGCTCAAGCATCCGAACAAACATGATAAAACAGCAATCAACGAGAAAATCTCTAAACTGTTTGAACAAACAGGGAAAACATGCCATATTAATAAAGCACTGAATTGAAAAGATATTTCCTGGTTCCAAAGAAGGACGGTTCTCTCCGCCCCATTTTGGACCTAAGAGTGTTGAACAAACATTTGAGGAAATACAATTTCAGAATATTAACCCACGGCACTCTGGCCCGTGCCATAAAACAGAATGACTGGTTCACATCGGTCGATCTGAAAGATGCTTTTTTCCACATAAGCATTTATCCGCCCCACAGAAAGTTTCTTCGTTTTGCCTATGAAGGCATATGTTACGAATTCACAGTCCTCCCATTTGGGCTCACCCTAAGCCCAGGGACTTTTTCTCTGTGTGTGGAGGCAGGCTTAGCTCCCCTGAGAATGTCAGGTCTGTGGATTTTGACATACATAGACGATTGGCTCATTATAGCCGAATCATAGGTGAAAGTACTGCTGGACACCCGTTGTGTGCTCACTCACATCACATCTCTCGGGTTCAGGGTGAATTTGAACAAAAGCAACCTTACACCCAGTCAGAGTGTGATTTTCCTGGGCTTGGAGCTGAGCTCAGTGTCCAGTCTCTCCAGTCTGAGCTCAGTCTCTCTCAAGAGCGCATTCGCTCTCTAATGAACTGTGTGTCACAGTTCAGAGAGGGAGCGAAAGTGCAATATCGCACATGTCTCAGACTGCAGGGTCTAATGGCTTCATCTATCCAGGTTTTGCCTCTGGGACTTCTGAGAATGAGGGCGTTCATGAAATGGGTTTTGTCACTACATTTCAGCCCGTTACGCGATCTCTGCCACTCTGTAACAGTGACGCGCGCCTGCATGGCAGCTCTGCGCTACTGGAGGAGCGCAGGCTTTTATGCACAGGGAATCCCTTTGGGGATGATGATGTTGCGGAAAGTCGTGACAACAGATGCGTCCCTAACAGGCTGGGGTGCCACCCAGGAGGGCAGAACGGTGAACGGTTTGTGGCCGAGCAGACTACGTTCAGCGCACATAAATTATTTAGAGCTTATGACCATATGGAAAGCTCTGAATTATTTTCTGCCTCGCCTGCAGGGGCATCATGTGCTCGTACGCTGCGACAATACCACAGCGGTAGCATATATCAATCGCCAGGGCGGTTTGCGCTCATCGAAACTTCACGCTCTAGCTCACAAGCTTTTAGTGTGGAGCAGGCGGTTTTTCCTGTCGTTACGCGCGACTCATGTTCCAGGCATTCTGAACAGAGGCGCGGACCTTCTATCGAGGGGGAACCCACTCTACGGAGATTGGCGCCTTCACCCTCAGATAGTGGGCTTGATATGGATGAGATTCGGACAGGCAGCCGTAGATCGATTCGCCTCTCGCGAAAACAGCCATTGTCCTATGTTCTTCTCGCTAAAGGACGTGGACGCACCCCTCGGGGTCGACGCACTGGCCCACCCATGGCCCAAAGTGCTGCTGTATGCTTTTCCTCCCCTGTGCCTGATAACTCCAACACTGGCCAGGGTGAGAGAGAAGGGCCTGTCTCTCATTCTGATAGCACCCAGGTGGCCCAAAGCACCATGGCTGGCAGAGATAATTCCTCTGTTATATGCCCAGCCATGGTGCCTCCCCCTCCGCACAGATCTATTATCTCAAGCGAACGGGGAGATTTATCACCCACACCCGGACAGGGTGGCTCTCTGGGCCTGGCCCGTGAGAGGACAAACTTAAACGCGCTAGGGCTTCCCCCGCGTGTGGTTGCTACTATACAGAATGCCAGGGCCGTGTCTACTCGGTCCTTATATGGCTGTAAGTGGCAGGTGTTTGAAGGGTGGTGTGATGGGCGTCGTCTCACATCATATCAGTGCTCAGTTCCTGATATTTTGTGTTTTTTACAAGACAATTACAAGGCAGGTCTTTTTCCACCATTAAGGTCTACCTGGCAGCTATTTCTGCTTGTCATGTGGGTTTTGAGGGCTCAACGGTCGGGCAGCATCATCTAATCCGCAGATTTATGAAGGGTGCCCGTCGTTCTTTGCCCGTTACCAGGAGAACTGTTCCTGAATGGGCCCTCTCCATGGTGCTGGAGGCTCTGTCTCAATCCCCTTTTGAGCCCCTGGGAAGTATTTACCTGAAGCTGCTGTCCTTCAAGACAGCTTTGCTCTTGGCCTTGGCTTCACCTAAACGTGTTAGTGAGCTTAATGCACTCTCGGTTCATTCCTCGTGCACTAAATTCTCACTTAGTGGAGATAAGGTTTTTCTTAAGCCGAACCCGGCTTTTTTGCCTAAGTGCTTCCCTGCGTTTACATCGGAGGTGGTGGAGCTGTCCGCTTTTCACGCTCCACTTTTTTCTTCCACTGAGGATCAGAGGTGCCATATTAATAAAGCACTGAATTGAAAAGATCTCCAGTAAGCGTTTTGCAAAACTCCCATGACCACTTCAATGACCACATCCCTGACAATTTCCCTGACCACATCGACCATTTACTTGACCACATCCCTGACCTTGGCCACATCCCCGACAATTTCCTTGACCGCTTCCCTGACCGCTTCCCTGACCCTGGCCGCTTCCCTGGGCCTGGCCTCTTACCTGACCGCTTCCCTGGCCGCTTTCCTGGCCCTGGCCGCTTCCCTGACCGCTTCCCTGACCACTTCCCTGACCCTCGCCGCTTCCCTGGCCGCTTCCCTGGCCCCTTCCCTGGCCCTGGCCCTGGCCGCTTCCCTGACCACTTCCTTGACAACTTGCCTGACCCTGACCGCTTCCCTGACCATTTCCCTGACCCTCGCCGCTTCCCTGGCCGCTTCCCTGGCCCCTTCCCTGGCCCTGGCCCTGGCCGCTTCCCTGACCACTTCCTTGACAACTTGCCTGACCTCTTCCCTGACCACGTGGTTCACTGCATGCAAAGCCACCGGTGGTTGGGCAACATTTCTGTGTGGCAGGACACTGGCCATCATGGAAACAGCTTTCAGCACACAGAGGAATCATCTCCGGTAGGGGACATTGACCCGGCTTCACTGCGTGGACACAGACGGTCAGCTTTAGTTTGTGCATATAGACCGTATGCCACTTCAATATACAGCACGTATCCGACCGAACTACAAACTTTCCAGTGATGTCTGTGAGAAAGATATATTCACTCGACAAGCTCGCGCATCTGCGCCGCCGCGCGCTCAATCCACTCAGCGTGCCAGTATCGTTATCGGTGCATCCCTAGTCATTACAGAAGTAGGAAATCTAGAGGAACTGAAAGTAAGGATGCTGAGAACTTAGCAGAGATCCAGCACCTACTTCTTAAAGTCAGAGGAGAACACCTCCAATGACAGAGACCTGGTCTTCTCAGCATAACCAGGTCGGGGCCCCTCCCCCTCCACCTAACATCTGTGTGTGGACTAAAGCCACGGCGAAAGGGGGTACCCCATAACTGAAAAGGGTCTACCAGTGTCAGCAGACACCCAGCCCTTGTATCACATCAGACATCACCTTCAACCAAAGAAGGGTTCTTTACTTTCCACTTCAGTTTTGTGTTCCAGTTTAGACTTTTCAGTCTGTTTATAACCTACAAGGTTATGATTTTGCATGCCCATGACAATCCCTTTGGATGTCAGGAAAGGGGGGTCAAGCCCCATATGATACTACTGACCAACTAGTTTACTTGCCACATGTTAAGTAAAACATTGCAGATCACAGTTAGGGTTGTTCTAATTTGTTGTTGTCAGTTCTAGCCATCCAATCTCCCTTAAATGTCATCCTTCCAAAGAAAGGAAGAGTTTAATTGGACCTGTGATGCAGTCCTCTAGAGGCATCTGCAGACTTTAGACAAAACACTAAAATTTACAACCTCCACTGCTGGTCAATATACAGCCCCTTCAACTACACCATCCACAGTGCAGCCAAGATAATGGATGTCATACAACATGACCACTCTCATTAATTGGTCTGTATATTAATGCAATATTTACTTATGATTTAAGTGAGCTTTGCTCTTTGTTTTGTCATATGTGGTACCAAGTGAACCAGTTGAGGATTCTGTAATCAGACATTGCAAGGAACTGTGTAAAAATTGCAGGTGCACATAGCCTACTGCTTGAAGAGTGCCAAACCAAATTATGTCAATCCAGACATTTAAGAAATTGGTTTCCTGCTAAATCTGCTTAAAATTTTTAAATGTTTACACATACCTTGATACTCTCTTTAAATATCTTAAACAATAGACTTTAAGTTACTTGTAGGACAACTTTTCCTTACACATATCTTCTCCAGAATGCTTCTAACCTGTTTAGAAATTATTCTAATGACCCTTACATGTAGTTAATTTAGCACTATACAGAACATATTGAGCAAAATTGTACTTTAATGCCAGTGGTCAGAAGGAGGAGGTGAGGTGTGTGTGTGTTTTATTCCTGCTTTTCCTTTTAGTGCATCGCCCAGATCAACGACTTCAAAGTCGTGTATGCCTAAGGTTGAAAATAAATGATGTTTATAGTGAATGCCCCTATGAATGGTGGGTAGTGGACAGCACATTCCAGGGCCCAGTTTATGGCGGGGCCCCTCTCTAAACCCCTATAGTGGACAATGGTTTGCTACATTTTGATTGGATCTTGGTGGACTAACATAAGCAAACTCAGCCATCAGATAAAGATGCCAGGACAACAGCCAGACACCTCTTAGAGGGCAAGAAGAAGGCCTTTGGTACAAAGCCCGGGAAGGATAGGACTTCTCATTGGTGAAAATGCAGTTTCTGCCCTTCACCCACCAACAGACTGATTCCTAAGGTTTTGGCCTGTGACCGCCATAAAAATTCCTTAGGACCTCTGGATGCAGCAGCAGTGGAAGAAACAAAGAGAGATCACAAAGTTCCATCCAAATCCATTCATAACTATGTTCTCAAACCTTAAACTGATGCAAACTACAACACACACATCTCATACTTATTCAGAGAAATAAGTATTCTCAGTGACAGCGACGTGTAGTGCAACATCTTACACAAACTCAGCTGTTAATGGACAAATGAATGCATGCATGACAGTTCAGTCTTCTTCCATCATGTTTGGACTTAATGTGTTCGTAACATTGTCAAAGGTATTCTGGTTGTGGTTTGGTAAGTGAATAATGCACTAGTAAAGCTTTAGTGACACTTTTCTAAATGTGTGTTTGGACTATGCACATAAGTTCCACACCGTGTCCCCCCACTCTGATGGAAACAGCCAATCACAGCCTGGAAATGGAGAA